TATCTATCTGTCTATCTATCTATCTATCTATCTATCTATGTATCTATCTATGTATGTATCTATCTATCTATCTATGTATCTATCTATCTGTTTGTCTAACTATTGGTTTAACTATCCACCTTTTTATCTATCTGTATGTTTATCAGTCTAAGCATTACGTTAACCTTTCATCTATGAATCAGTCTAGCTAACTAACATTGTATTCTGTTCTATTTACTAAAAAATATATGAAATACACGTATATCGTATATCATAAACAGACTTTAAATAATGTAGGTCCTGTCTCCTAATCATCATTCGTACATTAGCACAGACGTCTAACATACCATACAAACGAGAATCAAAAGTTACGACATGCTCTGATCTACTCTCAGAATCCTGTATCTGAAGCACACACAACAAAATCCCGCATTTCTGTGAAACATCCCTGGTGGCAAGATGCAGACACAAGCCTGGAAGTCCTGCCTGTGTGCTCTGTCGTCACTTCTGATTCTGCTTCTTGTTTGTTTCGTGGAAGGTAAAAAACAAGTCCTAGTTTTGTCTATTTTGTTTTATTGTTGTGTGTGGTTGTTGGGTTTGTTTTGGGTTGTTGTATGGTATGGTATGGTATGGTATGGTATGGTAGTCATCGTTGACTAAACATCCATCCCCGATAGAACCCAACCAAATGGATGAACATCCTTAAAAACTGCGGATTTGTTTTCAAAAGGCATGCTCGACACGTGTGTAAACCCATGATTATATTCCAAGACGACACCAAGAGAAAGCCTACATAATTCTGTGAAATGTAATCAATACTTTAAACAGTAACATCCAGAAATTGCTATAATTTAAAACTGTGCTTTTCTTTTTGCTACCTTATTCTTGGCAATGTCGAGCTATTGTTTCTTTTTGGTTTTTTCCTAGCCTCCATTGAGCTGCAAAAACGCGGTTTTGAATTCCAATTTTCCGATCATGAACCGATGGAATCAATAAAACCATGGCTGTAACCAGGAAACCGCACGCTCGATCGAGCCGATGTTCAGTATTGGTTTAAGGAGGAAGTCAACTAAAAGGATACACAGACTTGGTCTTGCAAACAAAGCAAGTGTAAACGATTTAACAAGTCAGGTTGGGGGAGATACATAGTTTAGGAATTTGCTAGCAAATTTCCTGAGTGGTACTTCCAGCGAACTGCGCAGTCAACTACATAGAGAAAAAAGCGTGATCGTGCAAACAGAGCAAAGTGTAAATGATTTTCAGAGTAGGAGGAGCGAGTGGTAGCTGTTGTTGTGATAGAAGCTGGTAAATATCCCGTGTGGTACTACCAGAGGACATTCTTGTTTCTGCTTCACAAACATGATTAAGTGAAAATCTCAAACTGTTGCGCGGTGTTTACTGCGTACATTTAAGCTGGTCATATGATGATGATGATGATGATGATGATGATGATGATGATGATGATGATGATGAT